TTTTCTGTAAATATATATATAAATAAATATAGGAATACCGATTCGTAATGAATACATTTCATTAACAATTGTGAACATATTAATAATGAAAAACAATAAATTATTTAGAAAATATTTAATGATTTATATTTTATTAATTATTTTGAATGAAAATGAAATTTATGTCGTTTTATCAATATTAATCGTAAGATTGAGTTTCATGGCAGACGGTTGAATTATAGGTGTGGAGCTGCATCTACTCTAGTTCATTTATTTTAAAGTATGTATTAACTGAAGATGAATTAGTTTAAATATGGTTTCCGTTAAAATATAATCGAAAAGGGACGAAAATAAACGCTGAGGATTGTAAAACATTGAGAAACATATTTCTTTCAATGTTAAATTCCTTTGTTTGTATTTGATGCGAAATATTAATGCAATTTTTTATAAATGCATATCCTTTTCTTTCTTTATTTGTTATTTGGTTATTAAAAAAAACATTGTTTTTGAATTTTCATAAAAATAACAGAAATATTAAATAAATAGTGGATTATTTATTGGATATAAATTTAATTGCAGATTTCGAAAATCATAAGTGGCTAAAAAAATAGTTCCGCAAACATCACTCTGGAAACGCTGCTTTAGAGTGTTAGTAACATTAAATGTGTCATATTTAACTAGATTATTTCTTACCTAATGATTTCTTTCTATTATTCAATGGGCAGTTAATGCATAGCAGAGATTGTTGCCCTCATTCTTCCATATACTGAGATTTGAATAAATAATTATTTTACGTAATTTGCCATGTGGGATTCTGTTATCTTATGATGGAATATTAGTTTTATTCATATATATTTTATTTAAAATATATATATATATATATATTTACCCTTCCTTTAATTCTTGTGTGAAAAAGAATCTTTGCATTTGGTTTATTTTTTTGAAGGAGGAGACAAAAATGTTCTTACATCTTTTTACATTTAATCCTATTTAAGATGTGAAGCATGAAAACACTTATAAAGAGAAAAAGGGATTAGCGAAAGATAATTTTTTCTGCTAGAAAAGTTCACATAATTGAAACAATGCCTTTTCATATTTCATTAGTTATTATGTTTTACATTTTTTATATTAATAGCTGTTTGTAATAATAAAAAACGTTAAGTTCTGATTTTTTTTTTTAAAATTATAAGATAATAAATTATTTTTTACCTCGAAAATTGTTTTGTTTATATTTTAACTGCTGATGGTCCCTTTTTAAGGATGGCTCTAAAACTGCATAAGTTCATCGAAATTATTATTTGGCATAAGTTATTTTTAAGTTTTCGTTTCATTCAAATATTATCAATGACAGCACATATTAAGCATGCAGTTGATAATGTTTTTTTTTTCATACTCTAAACCAACACAAAAAACTAAATTCTTAAATTTAATATAGTGCATATTGCATAAAACTTTTTGTTTGAATACTTTTGTTTAGTCCTTTGTAGTTTGCTTGTCCCTGTGAGGCTAAATTTTTTTTTTTTACATTTAAAAAATTTAAAGTTTTAGTTTTAAAAAATTATTATATGTTATGCAGTTATACCATATCATAAAAACATATTTGTTGACTTCAAATTTATCCTAAACATTCTAACTTTCAGACATAATCTTTGAATTTAAAATATTTTTTTTTTGCAACATTGGTGATAAACTCATTGTTTTCAAAATGAAATTTGTTGCGATAAAATGTTTTAACTTCATTCATATTTTAAAATGTTGCTTTTATTTTATTCAATATAGACCATTTTCCTGTATCAAAATGCCTAATTATGTGTTTTATTTTTAAGTTTTTTTGTAAATTATTTAAAAGCACAGGAAATGTTGATTTGAGTTAATTAAGTTACTTAAAATTCAGGATTAAAAAATTCTTTTTGGTTGCAGATTTGGATTCCTGGCTTAGAATTTTACTTGAATGATCCTATAGTGTTTGATGCTTTTTCATTTTCTATTTTTTATTACCAAACTTAATCAATAAATTTCATTTTTATATAATTAGTGTGTAGTTAGAGGATAAAATAAAGAGAACCAAAAAGAAATATTTCTTCTTTTAAGAATGATTTTGTACTAATTGATAATCATAAAACACATGTTAGCATGCTTTGTTTTCATTAATGAAATTGAATTGGCATTTCATAAAAAAAAAAAAAAAAATAACACGGAAAATAAATTATTGTAATCATGGAAATAGTATTAGAAACTGAATGATACCAAAAATTAGATTTTTTTTTTTTTTAACCGGGGAAGATGTTCATCTTTTGTTATTTCTTTAAAACTATTCAATCAATTATTTGAAATTTTTTAATAACTTTCTTGTATTTTCTCTTTAGGATTATTCCAAAGAATCAGTTAGCTATGTACAAAAATTTTTGATGAAAAATGAAGTTCCGGTTAATTTATTTCAGGTAACATAGATTTAAATTAGTTTTATGTACCAAAAAATATATGTATATATATTTTGTCTGATTGTTGCAATTTCTTTTTCTAGCCATACATAGAAGAAATTTTTAGTTTATTAAGAGGTGACATATTTAGTAAGTTTATTGAAAGGTTAGTATATTCTTTGTGCTATATTTATATTTTATGTTTAAAATATAAAAAAAATTGTTTTAAAATAAAAAATTGTTTTTTTTTTTTTAAAATTGAAATTTCATCAAATCTTTAATTTTTTAAAAAATTTGTTTTTAATTAGTTAATTAATATTTTCACCATAATTTAAATATTCTTTTTTTTATCTTTTCATTTGTGACTTAATTGTCAAAGAAAACGAAGTATATTATATGCTTATTTTTAAAAGTAGAAAATGCGTCCAATTGGAGTTTCTTAAATTTTAGTTTTATTAATTAGCGTATCCATAAAATATCATCAATACTATTAAATTAGAATGCACCAAAAATCCTTAATGTTTAATTCAGACAATGGGGAAAAAAAGATTTTTTCCTTTAAAAACGAAGAATTTTTTTTAAAAACAAATTAGCTAAATTATTTTTTTTCATTAATAATTACTAAGAGCAAATTTTTAAGTTTGTTTAAAACAAAAATACTTTAAAAATGTTTTTAAGCTATTGAAGTTAAAAACAATGCAATAATTCGTGCTATTATTTATTTCTTAAAATTATTTCAAGTTTGCTTTCTATATATTTTTTAATATACATTTCTTTTACTACTAAAATTTAATACTATATCTTCTGTATAGTCTTTCATGTCTGGATATGAAATTAAGTCATTTTTTAAAATTATCATCTTTTTTATACACCAATACTGGTTTTTATTTTAACATTTCATCACAACAAAAATATTTTTGTAAAGCTTACTCTTTGCATATTAACCCTAGATTTATAAACAATACACTTTTTGATGGTTCATTTCAGTTTGTTATAAACTTATATTTTACAAAACGTGTAGAGTCTTATTATTTTAACTTTTTGTAATTTTTTAATTGTTGAATATGTTTAAGAATAAAAATCATTACATTTTTTAATGCATTTATAATAAGTGACGCACATTATTTATTTTATTAATATTTATTTTATTGTTATGCATTTTATTATCACAGAAATGATTGTGCTCCGGAAAAAATCCGGATTTTCGGATTTTTCTCTAACCGCGATCCGGAAATTTCCAGAAATCCAAGGTCCAAAAGTTTCAAGAAATCATAAATCACATATATGTATAAAAATTCTTATATTTTTTATTTAAAAATAGTTGAACTAGAATTTATGCTTGGCAGCTCTTTCATTTCTAAATATTTTTTCTGGTAGAATAATAAATTTGATTAGAGATAAAAGTAAACTTATATAATTATTCATTTAAATTATGCTGTATATAATTTATTTAGAATTTCATGTTTTGAAAATATCAATGATTTAAATTTATTTTTGAAATACGTCATTAATTATTTTGCTCAATAAATTTGCAGGATTTTGCTCACAATCACTCCTGTTATCATGTATTTATTTTAAATTGTGTAAAGCATATTGTACATGTTGCATTATTTTTTTCAGTGAAAAATATACAAGGTTTTGCCAGTGGAAAAATTTAGAGCTTAACATACAAGTTAGTATTACTAGTAACAGTTTTTTAAAATGAAATTGAATTGCAAATATCATGTGTCACAATTAAAAGTGTACTGGGTACCCGGCAATAACCTGGTACCCTACCTACCCAAACCTGGAAACAATTTCACTATGCGGTACTGGGTACCAGTCTCAAGGTACCTTGACCCTGCCACTTTTACTGGGTATTCAGTGCTGGGCAACACTCTTTTAGGTTCAGCACAACCATTTTCTGATTATAGTTGACCTTGAAACTATTTATATATGATTTTAGAAATTCATGTATTTCGTCTATGTATCCAGTTTCTTAAACCCGCAGAATTAATTGATTTAGGCACGAAATATTTTACTTTTATGCAGAATTGCATTTGAGAGAAATCTTGATAAAATGGATACCTTCTTGACAGAGAATATATTCGCTAAAGGGAGGTGTTACTGGGGCGACAGGCATGAAATTTCAGATATCTAATGGTGAAAGCTATTTTAAAAAAAACTAATATAATAGTTGCAAAAACACAAAATTAGATCTAGGGAATGAAATTGATGTTTTTAAAGTTAATAAAATTATAATGAATGAAGTACTAAATTACTAATGAATGTAGTAAATTAGATCTCATTGCTATACTAATGATTGTACCATGAAACCTCACGAGAGCGACCACTCTGTTTCACAGTAGTCTTTAATAGAGGTTGGTCATTGGGTTAATTTCACTGACTTCAAAATGTTATCAAATGTACATGATTCTTTGCAAGTGTTTTTAATTATCCTCATTTCATTTTCTTGTGTGAAAATTCCACTTGTGTTGGCGTCATGAAAATCAATGAAAAAAAATTTGCGTTAATAAATATATCCCCTACTGATCTAATTAGTATGTGTAAAAACAAATTTTATCAATTATGTATGATGGAACTATTTTAAATAAATGAACAATTATGTTTTTTGTTTAAACTTGCGTTTAATTTTATTTAATAAAAATTAGTTTACTTTAAAACATGAGTTTTTTTTGTTTGAAATGCTTAGTTTTTTTTTCTGAAAAATTTTTTTCTTCCTAATTTAATTTTTAACTCTAAAATAAATCATTGATAGCATCATCTTTAGTGTATTCTTACTGTAACATGAGGTTGTCAATCTCTTTTAGAGATAATCAAAATGAGCTCTCTAAATAAGAGCCACTCAGAAATATTTTAAATGCCTTGGAATCTACTTATTTGTTGTGCTAATATTTTTTATTTTGATATTTTTTGTGCTTCCTTATTTGACCTTTCCCGCATTTAATGCGGAGGCTTGTTCGGTCGCTGGGAGAGGTTTTGGTGGTCTGTGTTAAAGGTTTTCTTCAGCACAAAGTCTACGGAAAAAATTCCGTGCCCCCCGAAAGTGGTCGTATATAGAGGAGGTCGCTACACAGAGGTGGTCTTTCTTGGAGGTTTCATTGTACTAAGTTGGATCTCATCGCACATAAATTTTATTTATAGTTATTAAATGATTTAAAATTAAATCATGTTAGTTAAAATATTTTTCATTTTATATGCTGTCATTTTTTTAATAAATTTTGTAAATATTTTATATTTTGCAGAAGCTACATGGATAAATGCTATTGAAAATTTAATTAATTATAAAGTAAACTATCATGAGATGTCTACACTTACTAGTAAAGTTTTATGTTAATAATTATACATACAGACAAATTCAAATTTCGTGTAGAAACTTTAAAAAAAATTTATTTAAAAAAAAAACAAACAAGCTGAAAATAAAAACATAAATTTTTATTTCTGTTTTTATTTTCAGTTATTTTGCACGATAAATTTCTTTAGAACTATATGTTTTAAAGTTTTCCTTAGATAAAAATGAAAATTATACGATTTTTATAAAATTATACGATTTGTTTTGCATAAATGTTTTAATACTTGTCTGGGTAATAAATCCAAATTTCCCTGGTTGCTGTCAGTAATTTTATATGCAACCTGACTGGTTAAATATGTAACCAGTCAGGTAACATATAAAATTTTTGCCGGGTGTCAGGAATTGGTCCTGTGAAAGATTCAATTTTCACCGGCTACCAGGTATCCGATTCTTCTTTAGTCACAATCAAATTTTACTATAATAATTTCAAATTATTTCTTATGTTTCATATTTATTTTAGTTAACTATGAATGACTTCAGTGTTCATCGAATCATAGGGCGAGGTGGCTTTGGTGAAGTTTATGGTTGTCGAAAAGCAGATACAGGCAAAATGTAAATATAAATAACTTATTTTCTGTGCACATTTTAGTAATTTAAATCATTAATTTTTTTTTAAGTTTCAAATATAATTGTCCTAAATTGTTTATTTGCAAAACACTAATTTTCCTGCTACTCTGGATAAATGAGATAAAAATTCTTCGTAATTATGTTTAAAATGTTATTCTTATTAAGATGTTTCATCGCTGTATGATTATTTTTTTATAATAAATATTTTAATTAGAATAATGCAAGTAAATTGCTTTAATTACAGAAAATGATTATATTAAGTTCCAGTATGTCTGATGGCGTTTCTATTTTTTTCTAGGTATGCTATGAAATGCTTAGATAAAAAAAGAATAAAAATGAAACAGGGTGAAACACTAGCGTTAAATGAAAGAATAATGCTGTCACTTGTCAGTACAGGGGTATGTATTTATTTTTTGCTTACTTGTTCATCTGTTTTATAGTTGAATGAAACTTTAAGAAGAAAAAGTGATAATTATTTACTCAAAAAGGACTAATTAATAGTTTAGTTTTTAGAGATTTATTTCTCTGTTTGGAAGTAATGACTTATTGTTTTTTTTTAAAGTTGTATAAAATTATTTTACAATGTAGGTCTTCACATATTTAATTGTTGTAAAGCTGGTTTAAAAAGTTTTTAATAGGAATTTGTTTTTTTTAAAAATAAGGCTTTTTAAGCGATTGGGGAGGAGGGGGATTATCTCACTTAAAAAATCATACGTCATGCTTTGATTGCTCAACTTAGTTACTTTTTGTACATTGTTTGTGTTACATTTTGTTTTTTACACTCGCTGTGTTAAAACTATAAATTTAAGATTTATAGTTTTTACTATCAGGTGATTTTATCTAAAATGCTTTTAGGGATTAAGGAAGTATTTAAAATCAAACCTGATCAATCAGAAAACTAAACTATTAATTTATAATTACCTTATTAGACCTTTACTCAACTACTCGTCAGAAACTTAGACTGTGACACAAAAAGATGAAAATACTGTTGGTGTTTTTGAGTGGCAGATATTATGAGTTACTTTTGGCTGAAATGTACAAAATAATGGCATTTGGCGCAAACACTCAAATCGAGAGCTTTACTGTTCCTTCCCAAGAACCTGACATCGTCAAACACTAATAAATCTAAACAATTAAATGGGGTGGCCAGGCCACTGAAATAAAAGCTAGGGCTGCCCCAACCTCAGATGGGTTGTTTGCCTTGAAAAGTTTTTTGGTATCCTGATAGTGAATAATTGGAAAACCATGCCTAACAGTAGAGTGGTCTGAAAGAAAATTCTCTGTTGTGTCATTAAAGAAAAAGATTATTCTGAGATTCATATTTGCAAGTATGACAAAGAAACTGAAAAATGTGAAAGCATATGGCTACATTTATGTATGGGACTATTTACTTTTTTCATAATAATTTTGTTCTACTATAAATGAAAAATTAACTTCATTAAACCATACTATCGGCAAAATTTATCCTCAGTGCTATTAAATGGCCGGTCATTGTCCTATTGCCATTGCAAAAGGATGATGAATTTTCATAATCTTGCTTCCGCTGTTGTTGGAGACGCTACATAACTTTTCAGAAATTGTGGCGATGATGAGTTTGTCTTAATACTTGACTTCAGAGTTGGTTTCGAAATTACATAAAAGATGTGACAAAAACGAAAGATTATATTTTTTTGCTCAAATGCTTAATTCAATTAAAATTTTTACTCGTACTTAATTAAATTAATTTCAATTGAAAACTTTTCAAAGACGAGTTCATTTCTTTGGGAATAATAATTTTTGTGAAGTTTAATTTAAAGTTACAAAAAATAAAAAGGTTATCGTCTTTTGAAGCTAGAATAAACTTGTATTTTTAGATTGATGTGCAAAAACATTTGATTACATAAAATTATTATTTGCATATTAAATTATACTTATTAAAATTCATCTTGGATGTTAACAGCTTTAAACAGTAATAAAAGTTTGTACTGAAATACATACATCCTTTAGGGGTTGTAGTTAATATTTCTTATGTGTATATGTAGTAATAATTTTTGTATAAAATGTTTGTTTGTTAGTTATATGTCACTGTCAACAAGAAACAGGTGTTCACAAAAAGAAAAGAAATAAAAGTTATTGTTGGTATTTTGTTGACAAATTTGGTCTTTATTTATTTTAGGAAGACTGTCCATTTATTGTGTGTATGACTTATGCATTTCAAACTCCTGATAAATTATGCTTTATACTGGATCTAATGAATGGTAAGATTTAAATGTCAATAAAAAATTTATTTTGGTGATTTTTCTAATTGATATTTTGAGAAAAATAAATAAGAAATTAACTAAGTTTTAAATAACTTTTGTTTAGCATCATTGTTAACTTCGAATTCAGTGCAATAAATGATAATTGTTGAATAATTTATATTTAAGAGCTTGTACATCTTGGAACAACTTGGTTATTTCTGCTTAAATTATAATTTTTTATTTAAATTTTTTTTATTAAATATAATCAGTTTTATTACTTTGTTTATTCATTAATTTTAAAATAATTCTTTTGCCACATTTATTGTTTTCCGCCCGATAATTATTAATATGGTTTTTTAAATGAAATCTTATCTCTCCCTTTTTTTACACATGGGAATGTTATATATGCTATCACTAACAGCTTATAGTTGCATGCGGCTTTTGGTGAAATCAAATGTTGTTGGCAATAATGTTCATCATAAAATCATTATTACAACTATATCCTTATTATTATCGATCTGAAATCTTTCTCATAATATGTTTCGTATCTTCTGGTAATATTTCTTTTTTAAAAGTGCTTCAATTTCAATAGTTAGTAAAAGTGTCTTGTAATATATTATGTGACATGCATTTTGCAGTCTTAATTTCAAGCTTTTTTTAATATCTTTGTGATTTTTTTAAAAATCTTTGTGCAGTCCCCTTTCGAACTCGGTCTGTTATATGAAATTGAACCACTTAGTTCTTCTAATCTTGAATTCTTATTAAATATACTAAGAGAAAAAACTCTTTTGAAAATTTGTTTATGAGCTTATGTGGTTTCTGAAATGAACAAATTTTTTTTGTTTGAAGCATTATTTCAAATTGTTGATTCTTCGAAATCTGATTCATTATGTTTGTTCGTTGATGTGAAAGATTATAGAATTCATCCCCATTTTTCAAAGAATTTATCCGCATCCTGTTAATAATGAATGTATTTATTTATATTCTTTATCTATATTCTTGCATTATATTAAAATCTAAAAAAACTAAAGCAAAGTAAAAATATTATTATTATTATTATTATTTTTTGATTAATTGTGGAGTTGTCATAATTGTGAAATAAATTGTTTCACTGATGTGAAATGTTTTTCAACCATTGCAATTTCAGGGTTGCGACAGGCGACTAACTATTTTTGGCCTGAGGTGACTTTTTTTTTACCTGAAAGTGCTAAAAACGAAACTATTTTCAGGAAAAAGAGACTATTGGGAGCCTTTTCTGTTCGCCTAGCGATGCTTTTTTAGTATAAATTGGGTTGGCAGCCTGAGCAACTATTTTGTTCTTTCTTTTCTGTGGCAACCCTGCAATTGTATTAGCAGATGATATACTCATGTCACTTTATTTATTTTTAGGTGGTGATTTGCATTATCATCTCTCTCAGCACGGTGTTTTCACCGAACAGGAGATGAGGTTCTATGCAGCTGAAGTAATTTTAGGTTTAGAACACATGCACAAAAGATATGTTGTATATAGAGATTTAAAGGTGTGTGTGCTGCAATATTTTCCTTCAATCGCGAAATGTTTTATGTTCATCTTAAAAAAACGAAACATTTATTGAAATAATTGTCATTTCTTTTGTCTGGTATGACTTACTTACCCATGCCATATGTGCCACAACAAAGCTTTAACAGTGGCACCCAGAGACGAAAATAGAATTTTGTCCTCTTATGTCATAATTATGTCAAAATCTGTAAAAGCCCTATACTAATATACTACTGAATTCAAAAATGTTAAAAAACAGCTCTACTTAACGCTATAGCAATGTGGTCCTTTAGTGTGGGACAATTCCAAGGTTTTAAACTCCCCTGTTTTGATACTTTTTTGTTTTGTTAATAGTGATTATTTCTCTCTGGTTTCTTTATTTTTCTTTGTGTCACTAGAGTGCACAGTTAATATTGAGAAAAATGTGGAAAATATATTGCAATTCATGATTTTTAAACAGTTCTGGGGATGCAAATTTTTTTTTCTGTATCAAAATATGCAAAAGCCAGTTTGATCTATAATTGTTACCCATCTGAAATCCAAATTCATATAAGCAAATATAGGGAATATATTTTAACTGCAAGTGATCTAGATTAATCAAATTTTGTAAATTTATGATTATGAAAGTTTCCAAATCCACATGATTTGGCTGCCAGATATTGTTGTAGATCAACAATATGTCATCTGATCAAAATATCAACATATTTTCATCAGCATATCAACATATGTTGGTGTTGCATGCTTGAACGTATGTTTGTGAACAAATGTTTTCTATTATGAGCATAATAAAATAAAATTATCATTCAATATTGACTGAAATGCTCCTAAAATACCTGATTTTGTTTAGAATCCTCAAGAACTAATCTGATATAGAAAATTTTGTAAAAGAACTACAGTTTTACAAGTGATATTAATTCAGTACTAGCTATTTAATAATCATTTAGAATTAAATGTTTTTTAATCTTTATTTTCTACATAACCTTACTGACTAAACTTTAAAAATGCTTAATAAAATTTCAGTTTGTGCTTTTGTTTAATTTATATTATTTATTTATTATTTTTTAAATATTTTTTTTAAAGTTTTCACTGCTTAATCATACATGAAAGATATGTGCTGTTTACATTATCCTTGAATTTGCCTATAAATAACCTTTTCTTCACATATTTTTTAGTATATTGAAAGGGGCAGGTATAATTTTTTTTTTCCTAACAGTGGTTTTCACTTCAAAAGTGGAGGGGATCCTCTGCGGAGGATCCCCTCCGCAGAGGATCAAAATTGTGATGGCATGTCTTCGGATCATCCTCCGGGATGTTTCCCAGACCGTCGCCAATAGCCCATTGTGCAGCTCTAGTGCGACGTAAATTAACAACAACACTTCAAAAGGTTTGCCACCCTGTAAAAATCACATCAAACATCTAGTTGAAATATTTGGGGGAAATCTTTAAAAACCTTTCTAGTTGAACTACTTCAGATCAAGATAGTTATGGATATTACAGGGTGTGTAGCATTTTTAAAAAGTGCTTAGAGGTGCTTATTTTGAATTTGGGGTTTGTAAAAAGTGCTTAATTTTCTATCTATTAAAAAAAGACTTTTTTATACAGTGTCGATTGTCATTTTAAATTACAAAAAAATGCACAATTTTCACAATTTTCTCTGCAATATTTATCAGAAACTTGTTATTTTGTCATGATTATGTGAAGTTTACGAAATAGTTTTTTAATTTTACTGATTTTATGTTCATAAATTAAGAACTTCAAACGATAGAAAAAAATAATTTATATTACTTTTATCCTAATTATGATTTTCTTTGAAAGTGATTAAAAATATTTTTTGAGTGCTTAAAATATACTTAAAAGGTGCTTATTTTTTGATGGAAAATCTAGCTAGGAACCCTATATTAGCTCCAATTATAGAACTATGAAAGAAAAACACCGGTTTTATGTTTTAACTGATTCTAACTAAACTGAACTAATTAGAGGATTGCTGTATGCTGCAAAAAGAAAGTGAACTCACTTTGGCATGTTTCAAGTTTTATGTGCTGTTGTATACTTGTATACTTCGTTCGTCTTAGTATACTTGAAGCTGCATCCTATCAAACTTTTACCATCATTAGTATAAAGCATATATTCTTGCTACAGATTAAAATCTGGTTTAGTTTGTGAAGAAACAAAGAATTGGATATCTCTTTCTTGTAAAATGTAATAAATAAAATTGCATAATATAGAATGAACCATATTTTATTCAATGTTATTTTTTTTCATTCATTCATGATATGCTCAGAAATGTCATGTAAATAAATGGTATTTCGTTTTTTGTGTAGCCTGCTAACATTCTACTAGATGAGCATGGACATGTTCGCATTTCCGATTTAGGATTAGCCTGTGATTTTTCAAAAAAGAAGCCTCATGCTAGTGTGTAAGTTAAACTTTGAATTAGTTAAAATAGGTTTTATTGATTTTTTTTATAATTAAAAGGGAAGTATTAAAAAAACTTCTCCTTCATGCTGTTATGTAAATAAGTATTATAAAAGATGCAACTAAAATGTATTTATATATTTGTGTCGAAAGTGTATGAGTTGTTCTTTTTGTTTAAAAATATTAGAAATAATTGCATTTTTTTAAAAATTATAATATGATATTTTATATTTCTTATAATAAATCATGATTGTTTTCAGAATGAATGATATAAATTTTTTTAAAAATTACTATTGTTTGAAAAATTGAAAATTTAGATGTGGCTATTAATTTCCAAAACAGTCTTTAAATTTCTTCAATGCCATTAAATCTTGTCATTTTTGCATTTACTATTTTTATTTTGGGTTCCCTAAATTTGTAAGGAATTTGTCCGAAAAGTATATGAGGATATGGACTGTTTTCTTGTTACAATCTTCAAAATTGAAAAATTTTCACAAGAGATATCCATGATCATGATAATAAATCATAAGTTAAGGTGTGAAATCATATAGAAAACCCCTTTCAAGTGGGTTTGTAAATCACACATTATTTTTAGAGTTTTTCTAAATTAATAGCTGCACTTTGTACAAACTCTGGTTGCTGATCTTTGAACGATTGATGAATATATTTGTGTTTATTTTATTATTTTAAAAGATTTATAATTAGGAAATATTAATTAAATAATTTAATATTACTATATTACTAAATTTTCATTAAATGCTATTGTAAATTATCTATTAGAAGTATGGAAAAATAGCTCAACGTATATAGAAAACATATTTACAAATTATGCTCAGCTGCTAAAAAAGCTTTCAGCCAGCTTATTTTTTATAAATGTAAAGGCTTTTCTGATATCAATGCTATCAAATTTATTGAAATTAATGCTAGTTAATTTAATTATTGTGTGTCATAATACAGTGAAACCGCCAGGAAAGACCACCGCTTTGTAGCGACTTCCTCTGTTTTTGAAAACTTTCGGGAGACAAAGAATTTTTTTCCATAGTCTTTGTGCTGAAGAAAACCTTTAGGAGAGACCACCGAAACCTCTTCCAGCAGCCAAGCAAATTTCTGCATCAAATGCAAAAAAGGTTGATTAAGGAAACACGTAAAAATATGAAAACAAAAAATATTTGCGAAACAAATAGGGAAATTAAAATGTATTCAAAATATTTTTGTGAGGCTCTTATTTAGATAGCTCTTTTTGACGAACTCTGAAAGAACAGCCTTATGTTACAGTCAAATGGCACTTAAAACGACACAATCAATGATTTATATTTAAGAGAGTTGATAGTTAAGTTGGAAAAAAAGTTGTTTTAGAAAAAACTAAGCATCTCAAACAAACATCTTCTCATTTTTTAAAGCCAACTAATTTTTATGATATAAAATTAAATGCAAACTTAAACAAAAAGCATAATTGTTAATTTATTCAAAATAGTTCTATCATTCATAATTTTATAATTTTTTAACCATCGTTGAACAGCCGACACAATTTTTGGGTTTTTGACTACTAATGTTCAACTCTGCAGCCTTGTAATTTTGAGCCCAATCCAGAAGACAAGGGAACTCCTGTATCAAGTATTGGGAGAAATTTGCCTTCGTGGAGGACTTTTTAATCGAACTAACCCGCATTTGCGTTACATGGAGTGGAAGATCACGAGAACCACCCACAGTTAGCCTGACGAGCCCACTGAGGATATTTCACGTCATCACTGTGGTCGGTGCAAGCCAGATGCGGAATTCATATCAACTGGGATTCGAACCCGGTTCGTCTCATTGAAAGGCGAATTTTACCCTTAATTATGTCAGTAGGGATAATTTTTATCGACATTAAATTTTATTAATTGATCTGGTTTTCATGATGCCAACCAACACTAGTGGTATTTCCACATCAAGAAAATTACACTGATTACAATTAAAAGTGAAAAATCGTGTACCTTTCATGACATTTTGAAGTCAATGGAGATAACCCCCAAGAGCAACCAATCTCCATTAGTGACCATTTGTACTGTTGAATAAAGAATGGTCGCATCCGAGAGGTTTAATTGTATATTTGAAACTTTTACACTTCACATAAAACTAATGAATTCAAACTTATTTGACAAAATAATAAAATGGAAATTACCGTTTACACTCTGCTTATATTTTGATGTTATAAAGCTAATATAAAATCTTAGTTCTTAAAATAGTTTAAAATTTATTAGCCATAATGCATATTCACATGCTTTAAAAACTGCGTGTCACTAATTAAAGTTTGTATGACAGGGGAACTCATGGATATATGGCGCCTGAAGTATTATCAAAAGGAACTGCTTATGACTCTAGTGCCGACTGGTTCTCCTTAGGTTGTATGTTATACAAGCTACTTAAAGGGTAACGTATATATATTTTTAGATTAAATTTTTTCTTATGTTATATTTATATATATGTTTTGTAATATATGTAAAATTTAGTAAAAGAAGAAGATATAAATGATATTCTAAAAATGTTAAATGTTGGCTTTAAAATGTATTAGGGTCAGCTATATTTTTAAAATCTATTTCTTTTTTATATTCAAGTCACTAAATAAGATAGCATTAATGAGAAAATTTGTTTTCTAAAAAGATTTATGTTGCTAAATCAAATTAAATGTAATTTATAATTTTTTGTCTATAAAGCTGTTCATGTATAATATTTTTAATGTTTAGCTAGGATATTAAATTAACTAATTTCTGCATTCATGGTATTTTATGTTGTAATAAAGAGTATAGTTTATCACTTAATTGTTCTGATTTTGTTCTTTTCTATGTTGTATGAACTCTGGTTATCACAGTGCGAAAAACTTTTAGGTATTGTGGTAACTAAAGTTTCAGACTAATTTTATTTAAATTTATCCTTTATTTTAAAAAAATGGAAAATCTAAAAAAAATTTTGTGAAAAAAATTATAGTAAAATACCACATTATCATAGGGTTAGGGAAGCTAGATAACAAGGACCGATGTTCAAAATAATGAAAGATCAAGGAAGAAAAGTGAAACGGATTTTATTCAAAATGGCGAAAGACGAAATTTTTTTAAAATTCGTGCATTTTGAAATTGCTTAATAGAGTGCGCGAACTTCTCGCGTTAATAATTTTTTATTGTGAGAAAAGAAAAAAATATGCGAGATTCTCGCGCTGTAGTGAGAACACTGTCTGTGTATGTACTCTTATATAATTCCTTTATTTTATTGAATTTTTTCTAAGAATTTAAGTTTCCTAAAACATTTGAAAATTAAATGTGCAGAGATGCAGTTCCAAAAAAATTTAAATATAAGTTGGAATATTTTTGTAAAATGTTTTATTTATTTCTATAAATGTTAACATTTAATATTGTTATTAGAGTCTGAAAATATAGTCTTTTTTTTTCATTTACATATAAATCATCTAAACCCTAATTTTGATTACTTCATTCTAAAATTTAAAATTTTGACTGAAAAATATTTTAAAACTTTTTTTTTAAAAAAAAAAAAATACAAGATATTCTTTTGTGTAAGAAAATATGAAATAAAATTGTATACTTATCTTGAAATATATTTTTATTTGCGCGATCTTTAAAAGTCAATACTGTTATGTATAATGTGAAAACTGTGTTAAAAAGTATTTATTCTTTATTACAGTCACAGCCCATTTAGGCAGCACAAAACAAAAGATAAGCACGAGATAGATAGGATGACTCTGACCATGGTAATTTACAACACATTTTACTTGATCGAAATTCATTCTTTCCCCCCTCCCCCCCAAAGATTTTTGTTATGGTATACTATTAATAAAGAATAAATAATGCTGTAATATTGAGATGGTGTGATGAGTTTTATTGTAAATATGTATTGTTATATAAGCAAAATCTGTGAACTACTATTAATTTTTATAATATTATCGTTAGAAATCTTAAAGAAATAATGAAATTAATGATTTTTAGTGTTTAGAAAATTAGGGAGCATTCTTACTAGGTATAGTTGCATTATCACTTGCCCCAAACAGATTATCAATTTCTAAATATGTATTTCATGAGAATTTTTATTTTGTTGGAAAAGTTACAAGAAAAATAGTTTACTCAACATTTGTAAATATTTTGTATTGAAATTAAACTTTTTATTTAAAATACAGAAAATTGTTTGTTTTTAACAAAATATGATGGAATCTCGCCAATCTTATTTTAAGATTTTATCTCATTGAAACTTTACGCCCGTTTTTTAATGGCAGCATCAAATTATTATGGAGCATGCTTCAAAACTCCAAGTAAGGGAATTCACTCGACTTCTTCCTTTTTACCTGCTTTAAAATTTAGATACTTTGGTTAAATTTTTTTTAATTGACTTAATGTTTTTATGCATTGTTCTTATCACTTATTGAATTTTACTGATTATTCTTTTTTTTGTATGGCTCTTGAGTGTGTTAGAAAACATTTCTTTGTTCTTATTAATTGTGTTTATTTCAGAATGTGGAATTGCCTGATAATTTTAGTATTGAACTAAAGAATCTTTTGGAAGGTCTGCTTCAAAGGGATGTGGATAAAAGGCTTGGCTGCAAAGCACAAGGGTATGCTATTGAACCTTTACTTTTAGTAAATCTTCTTAAAATTATAATTCATTTTAAATTTTTATTTTACTAATTAAATATTCCGGTAGCAAAATTTATGAGGTGAATCTGCAGCACTATCTACATGAATCTAAATTTGTCGGTGACCTCAGCACAGTCAGACAAAGATTTATATTTTATACAATTCAGCTTAATCTATGATACATGCAGCAAAAGTTTCATATGTAAGGTCATTATGCATAAATACTTTATGTTTAAAATTAAGTTAAATTTTTTACAATGATAGCAAAAAGAAAAAAAAAGGAATAATGTACTATATACCATATTTTTTTATGTGTGCATATTGTTGCTTTATTTTAAATAATTATTGTATTTAAAGCCAATTTTTTTACTTTTGTCTCCATATTATATTACAATTTCTAATTATTTATTGGTTTTGGAGGTTTATTGTTAAAAGTATCATTTATTGCTATGCAAATTTTCTTTAACATGCTTTTTTTTCATGGAAAAAAAACTTTTCAAAAATTTAATTTATTCCAATTATTGTGTTGAAAATTATTCTATAAAGTATCAAAATAAATTTTTTCCCTAAATAATTTTTAGATTTTAAATGCAAAATATTATTTTGGAACTTATATTTTATTCAGGTGTAATTTTCAAAACTTCAGTTTTATTTTTCTTAAAAAACTCTAGTTGTTGCTTAATTAAAAACAATTGCTTAATTTTTATTGCAGAGCGGATGAAGTAAAAGACCATCCTTTCTTCACGGGCATTGATTGGCAACTAGTGTACCTGCAAAAATATCCCCCGCCTCTCATTCCCCCGCGAGGAGAAGTGAATGCAGCTGATGCATTTGATATTGGCTCATTTGATGAAGAAGATACAAAGGGAATCAAAGTAAATAAATATTGTTTTCTTTCATTATAGTTGAGACATATGCTTTTAAAGATAGCCACGTCCACTATTTTTTTCCAATTTTAGGTAAATTAAATGATTAATTTCTAATTTCTCCCTCTTAATCATGTCTCTGCTTTTCCAATTAAAATTTTAAAAAAAATAAGTAAATAATATTTGTTTGTATATTTCCTTGCTTTTCACAGAAACTGGTTTTTTGATGTAGTGTAGCCATCAGCTTAAAATTGAGATAATGCTCAGACAGTTAAAAAAATCTTTGTCCTTTTCGTTAATGATACTGCACCTGTTTTTCAATGTTTTTTAGTCCCTTATCACATTTCACCATACCTCCTATCCCATATAGCTTGTCACACTCTATTACTTGAACATGTACTTGCTGTTTTGGGGCAAAGCACTGCTATGAATCATATTTTAATTTCTTTTGTAACCATAGGTTCTTAAACATGTTTCATTAATCTTGCAAAATATGTAAACACTCGCTGCTTTTAAAGTGAATGAAATAAAAAGAAACTTTTCAAGTAATTTTGTAGATTACACAAAAATTAATTTTGCACCTGTCTCGTGTCAGAGTGCACTTATGTTAATGGTATTGCAATGAGTAAGTTGTCCCACAGATGAATGTTAATGAATAGTGCATCTCCAATGCATGTTTATCAATTTACTGTTAAACTTTTAACTATGTGTTTTAGTGACATAATAGTATTTATGAGTATTAAATGAGACTAAGGTTAACTGGCCATAAATATTATGAAATACAGTAGAACCCGGATTATCCGAGTTAATGTGGACCAAGACTAACTCGAATAACCGAAAAACTCGGTTAAAGCGAAAAATGTAAATTAAGATAAGTCGTGTAGGTTTAAATGTATATGCTAACAAATACAAAGGTTATACAGATACACCACATGCAGTTCATATTTTAACGATAATTAAAGAGTTCTTAAGTTCTTACTTAAAAAAGTCCTTAATTGTTTTTTGTATAACTTTACTTTGGCGTTTTTCTGCAGCAATGTTTCGCCATTTTTTTAAAGATAACAGGATTGCTGGTGTTGCTTCTTGTTGTTCTATGTATTCAATAGCACTTTCGATAGCTTTTAATCCATCTGTGTGTGAAATTTTCATACATCGATTTTCATCCTCATTCCTGAGTGTTTGTGAGATCAAGTTCAGAATTTTTTTCGGTAGTTTAAAGAAATAGAAAATGTAGAAGCAAAAACAAAAAAAAATCGTAGAGATATTTGACAGCTCGGTTAAAGCGGAGACTCGGATAATCGGGGCTCGGATAACCGGGGTTTTACTGTATTATTATTTTTGTATACAAAATAAAACCAAGGAGAATAAACAAAATTATCAGAAGAAAACAGCATTTTTATCTTTTTTGAATAAACTAAGATGAAAAAATAAATATATAGTTAAAAAATATTTAATTCTGCTGATTATTTTCAATAACTTTAGTGATTTGGCACTTCTTGTTTCATCTTTCCCTTTTTGCACATACTGTCACAATTTCAAGTGGCTTCTTTACTTGTGATATTTGTAGACTTCTGCTTTCTTTCTTGTAAAATTTCTGAGAAATAGATTGAACTTATTTAAAAACCAAAGGTCTTTTAATTGTCTTGTTTTAATGTACTAATAAAAAAGAATCTAATTTTTTTTGGATGTTTGTAGTTGACAGATGCTGATCAGGAGCTTTACAAAAACTTTCCAGTTGTTATATCAGAGAGATGGCAACAGGAAATAGCTGAAACTGTATTTGAAACTATCAATCTAGAAGCAGACAAAGTGGAACAAAAAAAGAAAGCCAAAATGAAAATGAAGTTTGATGATGAAAAAGGTAACACTTGATGTGCTGGTCATAAAATCATTTTAACTTATAGAATATTTGCTTAAAATATTTGTTGTCATTGATTATCATTTTACTACGTTACTTATTTTGAGTGTATTAAGCTTTTTTGTGAAGGCTTTTTCATCAAGCAAAGTAAGAAAAAATTTTTTAGTTGAAGTTTATAATGCCATGTGGAAAATGAGAAACATTGAAAGGGCTAAATAAAAAAATTTATCCAATATTACAAAAAAAAAAAAAAAAAATAAAAATAAAAAAGAAACAACTTTGAAGAAAGATTTTTACCTACATAAATAATTTCAAATCAGTAATTAATTGAGAATTTTTTTGTATTTTTATTGATATTAAACAATGCAATGCAAAAGTATCTTCAAGTATATAATTAAAGAATTAGTTAATCTTGTGGGGTATATCTAAATAAACAACATGAAAAGGTTTTAGTATTATAATAAAGAACCTTCTTTAATATCAACAAATAGGCAATTAAAAAGAATATTTTTGAAATAAAAAAAAAGAGACAGGCAATATATTAACTGCAGGGTGATGCGTCAATAAATAAATAATGAAGCCGATATTTATATTTTTCTACATCATTGAAGAAAAGGTATGAAGTTTGCCTATTTCTAACCAAACCAAAAGGTATAAGAATATAGGATCTAAATATGTTTTGTGATTTATGTTTTATAAGTGATTAAAATATTTTAGAAGAGATCAGATATAGTTTATTAATTACCATCAGATTTATAACTTATTGATAAATGTCTATCTACTTTTTATGTATTCATAAAACTACAATATCCCTTTTATTTTTATGATCCCCTAAAATAGTTTTTAATATTTTCTTTTCTTTCTTTTATTTTTTTTTTATCATATACAATTTGTTCTTTTATTTGTTTCAGAATCTGATTGTATCATTCATGGTTACATAAAGAAATTGGGAGGTCCTTTTGCTTCAGCATGGCAAACACGTTATGGTAAACTTTATCCTAATCGACTGGAGTTACATACCGAATCTAGTAGTGCCAAGCCAGAGGTATGCTCTCTTAATGAATTAGCTTGTAATTTTTTTTAAATGTTCTTTATAAATGTTTCTAGCTCGAAATAAGTTTTTATGTAAATTGCTAAAGATGATGCTAAATTGTTGTAACTCAAAATTCAAATTTTTTATTAATTTTTTTAAAATGTATTTTTTTATATCTTGTTATGGTGCTTTTTTCCCAACGAAATTTTTTTTTTCTTTCTGGTGATGTGACCCAGGGTCAAATACCAGTAATGGCTGGTTGATACAATGGTCAGAATCTCCTTGTCATCAATCTAATCATGGGGGTTTTTGCAGTTTTCTTCTTTATGCTATACAAATCTTTATGTTACAAGGTCACAGAGTTGAGCATTTATGGTTGTAAACCCAAAAATGAAGCGGCTTTTTAACACCAACTATAAATTTTTTTTTTTCAGACACCCTATATAACCAGTCTATGAACAATTTTAAATTTGGTTTTCTTCCACTGATAGTGTATTTTTAATTTTCAGCTGATTTTTATGGATCAGATAGAAGAAGTCGTTCCAGATTATGTCATGGTGAAAGGTGAACAATGCATTGTATTAAAAATGAAAGGCGACAAAGAAAGAGATGCAAAAATTGTCCTTACAAATCCAGTAAGTAATAATTGGATAAACAAAAATGTAATAAATTAAGGGAGAATACAACACCCAACTTCTGCTCGATACTAAATTGCTATCTTTTCATCTTATTATCTTGCAAAAATATTACAGTTCTATATATTAAATTTCTGTAATATTAAAGTGCCGTTTTTTATTTACTGATAATGTGAAATTTTTTTTGCCTGCTTTTATCAATAAATAACATTTTGTTACAGTTTGGGCATTAAAGGAAACCGGATTTTATAAAGTTATTTTTAAAGTGTGAAAAATTAAAGCATGCTACCATTAGCAAAAATGCTAAACATTTGTAAATTTATTTACTAATAATTATTTATATTTTGAAAAAATAAATAAATAAACCCAAAAATGTTTTTAATTTTAAGTTTTTTTTTAAGGGTAGGTATCTTTCACTTACAATATCAATTACTCTTACTTGAAATTGTTTTAGTGTAAATAATTATTATATTTACTAAAAATATTGTAAATAAAATGTATGTATTTAAGTTTGCACTTTTTTTTTCATATCATATAATTAGTAAGCAAATTAAATAAATTCATTTTTAATCATTTTCTGATTTTTTATTCTTTTAAAAATCTTGTAACATTACAATTATTGTTTGCTATTTATTAAATGAATAAAATGATGTATTTATGAAGTGTACTAATATGAGATTTTTTGCTTTGTAAGCATTTACAGTATTATTTTTATACATAATTTTTTGTCATTTTGTAGTGGCAATTGATTTTCATTTGCAATAATTTCTAAAGTCTTCAGAGTAGTAAATTCATGACATAATGTAGTATATTTTATCTTATTTTAAAAATATAGTGACATTTTATTTCTTCTATAGCAAATTATGAAGTATAATTAAGTAAAAAACTAAAGAATCAATAAAATTTTATTTCTAGTAATCGTAGAAATCAAAAGCAATAGAATTTTTTTTTTTGTAAAAATATTGTGTTTTAAGGATAGCTTCTTTTTTATTAATTATGTTAAATAATAGCTTATTTAATGACTCATATTGATTGATGGTGTAAAACTGCTTCAATAATTAGCAAAATTGTTGAAAGTGATCTTGCAATTGTACTATTTTTCTGAGGTTGTTGATTTAATTTAGTTGAATTTCCAAAGTATATGAAAAATCTATGCAAAAATAAAAGTTTCTAAAGAATTACTCACATTTACATTTTTTCTGCTGTATAAACTTTCTATTACTTTTATGCCATTACTTAATATTTTCCAGTGTATTGAGAAGTATTGTATATTTTTGTTTAGAACTATTGTTCTCTATTAAATAAATAATACCAAAAAGCCAATGTGATAATATATTGCTTGATTAAAAACTTCATTCGCTTCGTAAATATACAAATTGGAAATAACAGTCAACTTGTTTTAAGCGTTCAAACATCTGGCGAGCCTTGAAATGGGCTCCTGTTTTTAAGCGTTATTGACTGTTATCTCCAATTTGTATATTTTTGAAGCAAATTAAGTTTTTAATCAAGTAATATTGTTCACTATGCTTCAACTATTTGTAAATGTATTTCTTGAAGCATATTGGTTACAAGAAAAAAAGCCCTGTTTTTTAGCAATTATTTAGCTTTCAGAAAAGTTATTAGACTTTCTTCAATTGAAATACACTAATACGTGTCTGTTCTAATACAGGATGAAATTGGTCTTAAAGAATGGCTCACATCCCTTAAATCAACGTACAAGAACTCTTTAGAACTTTTGGCTAGTATGGCTAAGAAAGCTGGTAAAATATATGGTACAGAAACTAATAATAGGAATAATATAGTATCTCGCAATACTAATGGCAACTGATTACTTGTGGAGTAAGTATTTATTTTTTGTTATTGGTTTTGAATTTTTTTTTTAAATATACTGTCTTAAGGTTTTGTTACATTTTAAAAAACTGTATATAAAATATTTTTGTCATACTGTAAAAATTTTTCTAAGTGCTGTTGTGTGTATTTATTAATGTTTTTTTATAGTTTTTGCGTCTTTTTATTGTATTGATTATTAGAGAAGTATTTAACCTGGTTTAAAAAAATGTATTAGCTATTAAATAATCATTTTCCACTTCAGTTGGTCTTATGCATAATGGCTCCCTTTTAATTTACATTTTTTGAATTCTTTTTAAAATAGTTTTCGTAATATTTGAAAATGTAATGTAGTTCAATTTCTTACCCTAGTGTTTTCGCAACATAAAAAGATAAAAGCAAACTGTTGAAAACCAATAATTTAAAAAATTACAGATGATTTTTATTAACGTGACAAAATTTTTTTTTCTTTGAATTTTTGATTACACCCTTTAAAATGGCTTCATTTTATATATAACTTAATTTTATAAAATTTTCAGCTTAATAAAGTAATATTTAGACCCTTGCCTAAGTGCCAAAGTTTGATAAAAAAAATTATTTTTTTTTCTTCTGAAAAATCGCTCATTCTTTTCTGTAAATTCTGAATGGTTGGCTGTAGAAATATTTGGACTCATTTTATAGATAATATTTTTTAATTTCATGTTTTATAATTTAACCGTGTGTAAAATGAGTTGACCAAAAGTTAAAATTTTTTTTTAAAAATAATCCTTCCAGAGTTAAATCAATTTCTTTAACAGTGTTGAAAGAAATTTGTACATATTGTTAACTATGTTGAAATGGATCAATTAAGATAATGGTTTTACTAAGGATTTTGTTACTATATTTGTGAAATGTACCAGATTGGCAAAATGAAGTGATTAAAATCAGGTTTTTCCAATCTATTACTGAACTAAGCTCAGTCGCACAACAGCCTATGAAGGTCCAAGGTCTACCCTTTCTATCCATTTTTAATTTTTTTTCTTGAGCTCTATAGTGCAGACGTAGATATCCGAGTTGAGTGATTAGCCCAACACAGAACCCCCAGTGTTTAAGTATGCTTGATTGTCATATTATCGACCCACTAAAGGTATGAAAGACTTAGTTTCTCTGGTCTGAAGATAGAACCCCGGTGTTATCTCCTTCCCAGTGTATTATATTTTTTGTGTATGGATCTTTTAGAAACCCTAACACATGGATTTAGTATGTTTGAGGGTTACTGTGGTTCATTAACGATCAACTTTTTATTTCAAGAAATAATTTAGTCGGTTGTTTCCATATGGAAGACAAAGTGTTGTAATAATAATTTTTGTTTTGTCGTAATTTATTTAATTTTTGAGAAAGAGTTACCTTAAATTTGGTGTCATCTTGTCTTGCCTTATTAGCTAATATCTTCCTTCCGTGTAATATTTCGAAGAATAATGTCAAACCAAAAGTAAAATCTTGAATTAACCATGAATTGATCAGCTAAAAGCATCAAAATAGAATTTAAATAGAAAGAATAAAATGACACTGTATCTCTTTTAATCATCTTTTTACATTACATTCGTCTAGTTTTGATGAGTAAAAGAAGTTAATAGTTTAAACTTCTGTAGGCAAATACCCTTAGGACGAATTCTAATAGCATATTGCTATAAAATCTCTGAATTTAGTTATGTTATAATTGTATTCCACTATATTGAGCACAACCACAATAATGCTCATACAATACAGCTTATATATAAATTAAACTAAACTCAGTGGCACGACAGCCCATAGAGGGCCAAGGCCTACTGTGCCCATCTCAGTTTTCTTTACCTTGGACTCTGGTGTGCAGGAGGAGATGTTCCGGTCAGGTGGTCAGCCTAGCGCGGAACCCCCACTGTTTAGTTCCCAAGCATTCTTGGTACTCATTTATCGACCCACTGAAGGGATGAAAGGCTGAGTCAACCTTACCCGCCCCCAGGATCGAACCAGGGACCTGTGGCACAACAGCGCGAAGCACTACCGCTCTGCCACCGGGCATCTTATATATAAATTACTTTACTAAAATTACTAAACGTGTTAACTTTTTCAAGATTAACAAAATTTTTTCTTCAAACAATAAAATGTCTTTTTTAAAATAAAATAGGAAATAAAACATGCATATTTTTTGAAAAATAGCGTTTTTTAAAATAAAGGTTTAGTTTACTTCCAGTTTCAAATGTAATTTTAAGACAGAAAGATAATATTTATTTGATAGTATGTATAACAAGGGAAAAGTTTTACATAGTTTATTTTAAAACAAGTGAGAAGCAAGATCGGAAACAAAGGGATGCGAAAAATTATGTTTATTTATTCTTGTTTGTTTATCTAATAACAAAAAGACCTACAAAGTAAATTTAAAATTGCATCAATCATTGAAATCTTTACTAGGAGGGAAAGGACATTCAAAGCATAATTAATCCACAACTTACTGAAGATTCATGCATGCGTGGTAATTCAGAGATTTTTAGACCAGCCTTGATGTTTTCTTCTGCCAGCTGGTACAAAGCTGATGTTTCTGAATTACCAAATTTGGGATAGGAGATAAAATAGAAGCTATGCAAGCACTACTTCTTCAATGCTGACTGTCAGTGAAGAATTTGTAGAATTTGTTAGAGCAATCAATTGAAAAAATTATTTTACCTTGCATGTCATCATCACATTTTAATTGCGAGATCAATTTTTGATTCAAAAATAGCCTTCAACTTGAAATTTTCAAAGGTTTAAGGTTATGTTACCTGAAATCAATTAACATCTGATTAATGATGAGTTGGTCAAACACAAAATTAGTGACATCGAAGATGTTGCTATGCAACTGTTTCTAGTCAATTGTAAAAACCGAATCAATGCTTATTTCTTTTTCTTGGCACTACTGCCCATAGCAGGCTAGAGCTGTCCCAATTTTTTTTCCCATTGGAGTCTCTCAATTGTAGTTTCCAATAAATCACTATTAATGTTTTCAATGTCTTCAAGACAACTAAATTTTTCCCTTTTCTATTGCTACCTCACTTGTTAATGGTTAAAATCTTTGTGGGGCTGTTATCTTCTCATCTAAATAAGTACCCCTTATTTTTTTATTTGATGCTTACTATGTCTGGTTGCTTATATACTTCCAGGGTGCATAGCGTTTTGAAAAAGTGCAGGAATGTGATTCTTCGCGGATTTCCGCTTTTATCCAGATTTTTCCATTTTTCCCGCTAATTTCCGCTGATTTTTTTTTTTGCACAAGTTAAAATATTTTATGAGGAAGCGAAGCGAAAGTATTGAAGTCCTCATTCCTCCCTCAAACATTGATTTTCGTATTTACCCGATTTAAAAGTTGAACGTTGCGATTTTTAATCAGGCGATTTAAATGTCATACATTGCAATTCTTATTTACGAGATTTAAAAATCCAATATCGCGATTTGTAATTACGCGATTTTAAAACCCTATTTAGCGATTCGTATTCACGCAAGGATTCTTATTATCTTAATTTCAAATCATGTATGTGATTCATATTTATATATTCATGCAATTTTAAAATTAATCATCGGGATTTATAATCACATGGTTTACAAGTTTAAAAATTGCACTTTTTTGTCAAATTTTTGTGTGTGTATATATATATATATATATATATA